ATGAAGAATAAAACCTTTCACAAGAAAAAGGATTAACTACAGCAATTTGTTGCTAGCTCTGTGGTAGTCTAAGATTCAAGCTTTAACAATGTGTCTTGGAATGTATTAAATTAACTACATGTATTGAAAAGGTAAATTAAAAAAAAAAAGCTATTAACTCTGAATCTTTCTTATACTGCTAGATATCATGTGGGGAACAGAAAGGTCTACCAAGACCTCTTTTTCATTTTGGGTGCTGGAATATTTGCACAGCTGTATTTTTATGGCCATGTTTTCCGTGTTAGGTTTGTTGGTCTGTTGTGCTGCCAACTAGTAGAGGCACATAACATTATTTAAGCGTTCCCAACAGTAATACAAAAATGATTGCTCTAAATGTTGCAGTACAATTGAACTGTTTTGGATAATCAGAATCATCTAGGTTGGAAAAGACCTTGAAGATCATCCAGTCCAACCATTTACCTAACACTGACAGTTCCCAACTACACCATATCCCTCAGCGCTATGTCAACCTGACTCTTAAACAAACACCTCCAGGGATGGGGACTCCACCACCTCCCTGGGCAGCCCATTCCAACGCCTAAGAACCTGTTCTGTAAAGAAATACTTCCTAATATCCAGTCTAAACCCTCTCTGACTCCAGGGAACAATGGACCAGTAGGAACCTATGTCTGCCTATTTGTTTGTGGGAAGGCTGAAACCAGCAGGGCTTTACAGTGATGTTTGAATCCCTGTCTTTCCTTCTAGCCATATGCATGTTAGGTTCAGTCACACACTAGATCTCTTGTTCTCCATTAGTTTGCTAGGGAAGAGGACTGCCACTGGTCCAAGGAAAGGAAAAAGAAATGTTCTTTCCCCGATCTTCCCACTGCTGAGTGAAGGTACTGTGGGCCAAGTTCCGAGGAAGTGTTTGAAACTGAGGCACAGGATAGCTGGGAAGCTTAGAGCAGGACTGTGTCAGGTTGTGTAGAGTGGCGTGAGGTGAAGTGTGAGGCTAATCTTTTTAGTGCATTGGTAATACAGCCATCAGTAATTTCAGTATCAACCTGTGATTAGAATCATAACAACACTGTTACCAGTACAGAGCTCATTTTTTCTTTAGCCTTTCACTTAGGTGACCATATGTGGTGTATTGACCTTGGCTGGTTGCCAGATACCCACCCAGCTGCTTGCTCTCTCCCCTTCCTCAACAGGCCAGGGGGAGAAAATAGGTTGAAAAAGCTGGTTTAGATGAATGAAGAAATAAACACATTATCTTGTAGGCCCAAAAAAGTATGTAGAAAAGGCTTTATTGGCAATTTTCCACTGGAACCTGTTCCTGGCAATAGAGTCACATTGAAAATACTACACAGTTGGGTTTTATTCTGAGTGAATTTGCAATTTTGGGGATAACTTTTTCAGTTTTGGGGATAACCTGAATTCTGGCAAATTCATTGATTCCGACTAAGATACTTCTCCCATCACTCTTTTCTCTTTTGAAGCATTCAGAAAAAGAGAGGTTTTCTGACTGCTTAGCAGTTAATCTTGGGGCCCAGGACTTTCTTCAAAGTCATTACTTGATGACAGAACAATGATTGTTTATTGAACTGTCTACCAAAAAATGTGTTATACTCCATTGCAGTTAGTATATGTAGCTGAAATTTTGTTATAGCGTATTTATTTTGTTTATGCTGAAGCTAATTGTCAGCTGTTCTCTGAAACTGTGCTGTAGTTTGAATACAGAGTTGAGTCTTTTGGCTAAAAATAATTTCCGTAGAATATAAAGGAATTTTTACAATCAGCATTGGAATAGTAAATTTTGGCTACTAGGAACTGAGTTTTCTTACCAGTGTTTAATCCTGTTTGCTCATCATGTTTTCCCAGTATAACAGAATCATTTTAGAGACATGGTCAATGTTAAGAAACCATGGACTAACCAAAGCACTTCATGATGCCCAGGAATCTTTAGACCAATCAAATGCATTTTCTATGAGTAAAAACCAGAAAGCTTAAAGACTTGTTATACAGAAAAATTTTACAAGGAATTTGGCTAGTAACTGCTTTTCAGATTAAGCATACTTTTCCCCCTCTTTACCTAGTAAAGACCTAAATTAAATCTGCCTTTGAGACATGTTGATACATTGCATATTTACAAATTTAAGCACTAATCCATTGAAGGTGGGGAATTTTTCCTTTGTCATTAATAGGGATGGTATTATTTTCTAACAAGTGAAAGTAACACAGCAACATTCATGGTATTACTAAAGAAAAGAACAGCAGTCAGAAGTAAGAGCATAAATAAGATCACTAAAAATAAGTAGTGTAAGTACAGGTGATTTCTGTGGTGGTGTTTAAAAAATAAATCTTAAATCAGTTGGAAGAAACAGAATCTTTTGTATTTCAGAATGAGGGGATTTATTACAGATTCATTTCCTAAGGAGATGGATTTGTTGGTGGTTAAGCATGCAACAGAATAATATAGTAGTAACTGGTGGAAAAATGTGTAACAGCAGAAGTAAAATACAGTATAGGGAAAGAAAATCTAATAATAAACCTGCATTTTTCCTTAGTTTTATGTATTATTTTAACTTTGACTCTTCACTGAATTCATTCAAAAAGCACAATATATTTGTAAATCTTCCAATAAGTATCCATCAACAAGAGAATTTTTTTTTCCCTTTCATGTGTATGCATGCACATTGAGCAGGAAATACTGAAAACAAACCAAATACATTATCCTCTGTGATGGAGAAAAGCAGCTCTATTTCTTCCGAGACTAATATTCTCTAAAGTTATTTAATGTTGTCTTCCCCCGATCTAATTCCCAAACACATCATGATACTTTGTGATTTTCTGCTAGTTTTTTTCTTTTTTAATGAGTTTTGCACATTCTTCTTTTATTTACCTGTAAAATATAATGGCATTAAGTTTTCTTATCCCTAACTCATTCCCAAACTTACCATGAATTCAGTCTGAGTGTGTTCTGCGTGGATTAGTAGCTGTGCAGACATTATGCTGTTCTGCCTCTGTACTTCATTGTATGCCTTGATACATGTCTGTGTATTAAAGGGAAAATGTCCTAAGGTTATGCTTTCCCTGACATCCAGCAGAAGAAAGAGGTTAGTCACTACTTGCCGTGAATGCTGTTGAAGAGCACAAGTAGCCATGCTGCCTCTGACAAGAGAAGTTTGCATTTTCAGGCAGGCTTATGGTAAGGTTTTTGGCAGACTTCTTGCAGGCTTTCATTGAAGAGCAAGGACTGATGACAGTAAACTGTAGAAGTAGGAAGAGGTTATTTTGTCTGAGCTCACTCATGATTTGCCTTTCCTGTTTTGTATTTTAAAATAAAATAGTGTAACAGAGAAAAGAAATCACATTCGTTTACTTCAGACATACTTGGTGAAATCCATTCTGCCACATAAAGCTCAACTCTTCCATTTTCATTAGACAAAGAGCAGAACAGTAATATATGTAAAATCTGCCCTTCCAATGTTTATAGCTGCGATGAAAAAGGAAACTGGAATCTTTTTATGCCCTGGCACTGGATACTGTGGGGGCCTCTGGAATCCTTTCGCCCATCTCCACCCTACCTTTCTGCTGACAAAGCAATTTGCAATTCTGAGTCTTATGATACACAGAAGTGCCCCCGTTCATTAGTACTGCTTGCACTTGTCTACATGGTTACCTTTTTTTTATTGTTTTTTCTGAAGACAGCCTAAAGGGAATGAGTTAACATACAGGATTTATAAAAGAGTTGTAGCAGAATTGAATATGTTAATTTGCAGGTAGCTCCGTAAGTGGAAGAATCCAAAGGCATGACTTCTATTGATTTGTGTCACCTTTCCTGTGTGCGTTGTCTAATAAAGCTTCATCAAATGCTGCAGCTTTTCCCTGAGTGGGGGGAGTCAGTACTTACTGAGCTTTCTATTTTCATTATATTTATAGGTAATTGATACTTTTACTTAAACTGTGAAATTGGCAAAAACTAATATTTTGGGAAACATTGGAAGACAGCACACTCACTTTAGGAAAGGTTAAAAGTTAGAGTGGGAAAAAAATAAGAATGTTTAACACATGATTACATAAGATGGTTCCAGATGGTTTGCTTTTATGGGTTATTGCTCCAGGTGTTACTGGTCCTTGACTGAAGCTTACCTGCTGAAGATGGTTTGAAAAACCCAACAGACTTTGTATTGAACTGGAAGCATCAAAATGTCATATGTGGCATCTCTGTTATATGGAAAATAACCTCCAAGCAAGGGGCAGTAGCAAGTCAAGTCTGGCTATATGTTAAGTCACTACAGCGTCTTAATGACTACATGATTATATCTTTTAATTTTTGGCTTCTTTAATGATTTGCAAAGTTAAACCAGATTGTTTTCTTTGGGATCCACCCTCAGTTATTAGTCACAGGAGCATTTCTACATTATTTCTTTGAAAACCTACTAAGTCCAGAGTATTAAGTATTTTAAATGTGTTACAAAGCTAGCTGTCCCATCAATTTATCATGCATACAGTAGAGCAAAACTCATATACAGTCCCCAATTAAAAAATGTATATTTACCATTCACATGAGTACGCTTTATTTCTCTGAATCATTCCCTCTTGATTTTTCTTACTTTCATTCTGAAAATTGTCATCTTCATGTTTAATTTTATTCCTCATCTGATAACTATCTACCTTGCTGAAAACAGCCTGTAGTGGTCTTATTTCAGTTTTTACTTGATGTTTATTGAGGATAAACTGTCAAGAAACACTGGAAATATTGCAGAATTTTTGATATTACTGAACCATTTTATGTACTCCACTAATGGAAGATATATATCTAATACCAAGTGGCAAAACAGACTTAAAATAACAAGAGTTAATGTTTTTTAACAAAAAAATCTTCATTAGGTGTTTCCAAAGCTTAGAGCTGTTTTGGTCTGGATTTTTAAGCACTGTAATACAACAGTATATATATCTAAACAATATCATTTGGTTTGATAAACTGGAATAAATTTTTGGTATTTTTCTTTACCCAGGGAAACTACCGATTCATGAAACTTTTACTGGCTCGTAGAGGGAACTGGATGCAGAAGGACTTAGAAGATATGACACCATTACATTTAACTACACGTCACAAAAGCCCAAAATGTTTAGCTTTGTTGCTAAAACATATGGCACCTGGAGAAGTGGATACCCAGGACAGAAACAAGGTAAAGATACTGCTTATTTTAAGACAGTACTTGTCGCAGCTTTAGAGACTGGTGTTACATCAAACAGTTGTGTGTGAAAAAATATTTCAGTCATAACAAACTTTTTCTGAGTCTTTAAAATAGTGGCTAACACCGGCATTATAATGATCACCTTTAGAAATACTAGTATTTTCCTGACAGTAATGATGTAAAAGTTCATTGCAATGAATTCATTGACATTCTTGTTGAGAGTACCTAGAATGATAGAGGATTCAAAACCCACTGATTTTAAGGTCTAAGTCTTTCTGTAACATTGTGATCTTTGTTAGAATCTGGATAGCATGTGCATATCTTGCTTTTCTTCATTGGAAAAACTCTACATTTAGAATTGTTTAATGATAAGAGTCACTAGAAAACTTTGTGCAAAAGGCTTTCACGGTGTTTGTCAATATTAGCTGTCCGTAGGTGCTACCCTTTAGAAATGTGTGGTGAGCTGGCTTTGGCAAGCAGCCAAATGCCCACCCAGCTGCTCTCTCACTCACCTTCCTCAACGAGACAGATGGAGAAAATAGATTTAAAATCTCATGGGTTGAGATAAAGACAAGAAGATTGATCACCAGTTACGGTCACAGGCAAAACAGACTCAACTTAAAGAAAATGAGTTTCATTTGTTGCCAATTAAAATAGTTTTGTGTAGTGAGAAATGGAGACAAAAATTAGAACACCTTTAAACCACCACCATCCCCTTTTTTCCTGGCTCAACTTTACTCCTTCACTTCCACTCCTTCACATCCATCCACAAGGCTGGTCCAAGGGTAAAAATAACCATAGACTAAATCTCTCTGGTTGTCCTTTTGTCTGTATCTCTGTAAGTAAAAAGGGACAATTTCTAGAGTCTACTAGTCTACGTGACTATTTTGGCCTGGGATAGAATGTGATGCCATTTGTCAAGAAGATTTTCTAACAGGGACAATGAAAAGTATCAAGTTATTGTTGATATTATTATTATCATCATTAAATGGACCAGTTGGCAGTAGAAGGTCTGCTATCAATACGCATGTACTGTTGCTTCCATGAGTGCATCATTTAGTGAGAGGGATGTGATGATGAACTTGATTGACATTCTGGCATGAGACTTTCATTTGAAGCAGAGCACCAGTTAGTTACTTTGACATCTGTTTTGTGAAACCGAAGACTTCCTCGGGAGAAAATGTGATCTTAACATCTTCAGAGCTTTATGTTACTATCTTCTTAGAATAAAGTTGTTCAGAATAATTTTCTGTATCTGTAGTGACAACAGTTGCTAGAAAGGCCAGGACATCTCCAGGTATATCATGTATTGCATATGTCATCATGAGTTGTCTCATGTCCCTTTGCAAAGTCACATCGTGGTCCACCACATCAATAAAATTACCAGCCTGCTTCAGAAGCACAATGACTTCGAAGAGCCTCAGGAAATAATCTACTGATGTTTGTTAAAAATGACTTATCGTTAAAGTGACCATCCAGAAGAGATGATGGATCTTAGCAGGGAAATGCTGTACAGTTCTCATTTACTATTACTCTTCATACAAAGAGTCCACAGTAATAGCACACTAATCCATTTTAAAAGAAGGGATGATTATTTAGCATATGGTAACCATATTTTTTTGAGGTGCTCAGATTAGTGTTGTTCTTAAGTTTGAGTGCTTAGCAATGCTTGATTTAGAACTGATATCAAACAGTTGCTTCCATTAGCATTAATAGTAGGGTATGAGGAGGCATGGAACTTTGACACAGTCCTGACAGATATTCTAGGTAAAGGATTTCTTGTGTTTCCACACACATTTTGAACAGAACAGATTCATCCCTCTTGCTGGCATGCTTAATGCGTGTTCCGTTTGGGAGATGACCACATTGCCTTTAGTAGACAGATTTCTTGTAATTATTGCAGACCTCTTAATCTGGGAATATCTGGTTTAAATTTCATGTGCTTGAGCAGTTTGTGTATTGTGAAATCTGAAAAACACTTATTTCAAAGAACCCAGAGATATGAATTCTCCCAAAGCCTAACTTTTTCTGCAAGGATATAGTAACAAAAAGTGAGACACTGTGAATGTAGATAGCAAAAGGAAGACTGAAAAACAATTTTCTGTAACTACCATTGTTAAGGTAAGCATGGTATTTGAATATAAGTGTAACTGTTACTGATGATGGAGGCTTTTTAAGCATTGAGAAGGAAGGTCTCTTTCTTACGATTTGTAAGTGATCTTGGAATTGTTGAAGAAACTCTTTCCAACCAGGCACTAATCTACCACTGATTCAAATGTGACTGCTCTGATCAAATCTATTTGGATCAGCTGCTAACCAATGTACTAGCTTGGCAAGGTTGGTCTTAGTGGAAATCATCATTCTGTATCTCATGTAGTGGAATTTCATTCTACCACAAGAGGACATAGTAAGAGAAGGGGACTGGACTTTCTAGAGATATAACTGCTTAAACCCTGAAATTGTTATCTGATTTTATCATCTAGGAAGCAGCTGCAAGCCCAGTTTCCATCAAATGAATCTTCTGTCCCTTCTGAACAATGGAGTTGAGCCAGCCTGTGCCCTAGCAATCAGCTGTTTGCCTTCCAGGATACTCTAACATGTATCATGGAAACCCTGACTATAATTACAGCAGTCATTCTGGAGAGGTCATGCTGACTTCCTGACCATGTTAATTAATTAACAAAGGTATATGGAAATCAGCCAAAACCTTTTAGGAACCTTGCCTGTTGTTTAGCAGATTTCCAAGGCAGTATTAAAGCATTGCCAGATTTCCCACAAAGTGTAGAGCACTTTTATTGCCGTTCATGTCATGAGTAGTCACAGTAGCAAAAATGGAATTCAGGTTGATGAAAAGTGGTCTCGGGGACAGAGCCCAACACGTTTGACCCACTTGGGCACATACTTTATTTGTTTCCCTTACTGCAACTGTGCGCATCAAGATTGTCGAATATAATTCCTGAACATGAGGGAGAACAACTGTCTTTTGCCTACATGGAAGTAGATGTAACTGACTGAAAAGCAGGTTGTAGGTGAGAAAAGCCGGTAGCCAAGGCTGCATTGGCCTCCTGGTAATCAAAAGTTTTCGCTTTCATTGCATCTGTCAGTTTCTAGGGATATTTGTCAACTCCACTTAAGAAATAACATTTGTTAATCTATTACAGATTTCTACTGCTAGAAGTTTTTCCACTTCAAATTCCGACAGGCTGTGATGGTTTGAACTTGCTTTATGGTGCTAGGCTGTATGTCATGGTGCCAGTTATCAGACCTTTCCTTGCAGCCCCTCTAGTTGTGTTTTAGAATGAGCTCTTCTTCAGTGAACTACCAAATAGATAAAAAGGTTGTCCTATCATATTATGTTACCATGGTACTAAACTAACAGCTTAAAGCAACAAATAAGCTCCTTTTTGCTTCCCTCCTTTACAGAGACATTAAGGATATGATAGTGAACTCACACGTTCTATCTCACTATTCAGGAATGTTAATCCAGGGTATCATAGGTTTATACAAAAATGTCCCACAGCAGTTATTTCTCTCAGTTTTCAAAGAAAAGTGACTTGTAAAATTTTGCAGAGAGATGGGAAATAAAATTCATTCTGTGTCTTACAACCCTCTGCTACCTGGCAGTTGGGAGATGTGTGCCTGATAAATAAAATACTTGTTAATGTACCAACACTTTGCTGTTTAAAAACCCCACAGACATTGGTTTGCTTTTGTAATTATGAACATCAGTAATTCCCATAAAAATGCTACTGGCGGTCAGGAATTGGCAATAGGAGCATGGATTGCCTTTTGTTGTTTTATTGGACTGCCATGGGTTAGTCAGTGGGCTTTAGATTCAGTAATATCCAACCTCAGAATTCTGGGTGATCAAGGACAGTACAGAAAGTCAAAACCTTTGCTCAAGATAGGTCCAAGTCCAGTGTCAGTACTCAGTGCCATCTTCCACTACTGGAGAGTAATCTTCTTAAATGCTTCTCCATTAATTTGTGTTATTCCAAAAGATTTTCACATTTAAGAGGGACCAAACTAATTACTGCATTTGTTCTGTAGTGCAGCTGTGGTGCTGAGGCCTGCTTCAGATGATCATTCTAACTTGGACTTGATTGCTTAATACCGAGCTCAAAAGTTTTCTTCAAGTCTAAAATTGCTGCATCTGATGGCATTGCTCTCTTGTCTGGCTAAGTAGCATGAACAGCATTCTTCTGCCATAGTTCAAGAAATCCTTATATGAAGATACCAAGCAACTAAGCTCCTACCAGAAATACTTATATTCCAATAATAAGGGCTTCTCAGTGTGGGTCTCATGTAAGATGGTGTGGAGATAACTAAAAATCTGACTGGACAATATCCTCCTGATCAACCTGTTCTAATTGGCCCTACTTTGAGCAGAAGAGTTGTACTATGTGGTCTCTTTCATTCTGTGTAAACATAGTTAAATCATATTTCAGGTTCTTTAATTTTCATTTTGTATTATTTTTTCAACGTGTTTGTAAAACTTGTGAATACTGTGTTCCAGCAAACTGCATTGCATTGGAGTGCCTACTACAATAACCCAGAGCATGTGAAACTTCTCATAAAACATGATTCAAATATCGGAATCCCTGATATTGAAGGAAAAATCCCACTTCATTGGGCAGCTAACAACAAGGACCCTAGTGCAATTCACACAGTGAAATGTATTCTGGTAAGAAACTCTATTTTTATATATATATATATAAAAATACTTTCTGTATCAACTTCTCTGATAGAAATGTTTTTTATTCTCTTGAAATTTTTCATGTTAGTCCACTGACTTTTCGAGAATGAAATTGTTTGCTTTTCCTAATATCCCGAATTTCGTAGGAAGTCACCTTTAATATTTTTTTCTCTCTTGAGCTCTCTTGAGGTTTCTTCTGAGTTCTGTGGGTGAATATCTTTGCTCTAATTCATGGACTCTATATTCTATTAATTAGTTTGATGTGTGTAACTATTTGTTTGGGTGATAAGGGAGGGAGAAAGGGCTTGCAAGTTCACCTAATTAAAATGGCCCATCATATTACTCATCTCAGTTTCATCTTGTACACTGATTTCTTTGTTGTGTGTCTTTTCTTCATTATTTGAAAGTTTCCTTCTAGTCAACTGTACTGAAAAGTCTAATTTAATTTGGTTGTTCAAGTCAGAATTCTGGTAAATATTTCAATTACCAGTCAACCCACAATCAGTTTATTGAGAGACTTTCCAAATATTTTTGTGTACGGATTTAATTTTCCCTTGATGGCATATTTTCTTTTTCTGCAGTATTTCAACTTCATTTTCTATACTGACAGGTAAATGAGTACAATAAATAATGGACTCAGTATGATTTTTACCTTGATTTTTATTCTGTGGAAATCTCTGAACTTCACTAGCATGGAAAGATAGAGAAGTCTCAGTTGAATTTTCCTCTCATATTACAACAATATCTTTATATCTTTGTCTTTGAAAGGTCTTTCAGAACTAGACAAATATTGATTGTAAGCTAGCTACAGTGACTTAAGTCTGTTTGCCTGATTAGCTTGCAAGTTGAGAACGTATGTGTGGCATATGAAAATTTGCTTTGCTTTTCTCCAAATCACATTGATAATCATACGGTTACTGATACTTTTTTTCTACTATAAAAATAGTTTTTGAGAACTTTCCAGTGTTAAATTAATGTTTTTATTAAAATAGAGAATTTATTAAAATACATAATTTTATTTCCGTGTTACTTCTATTTATTCAAGACATTTGTAATTTGGACTCAGTTGTGAAATAATTTATCACAAGCAGAACTTTGTCACAAAGTTTTATTTCATATGTACTATCTACTTTTGTGCCATGCTAGAGAAATAAATTTGCTGAAAAGTAGGTAAGGATTGCTGTATTCAAATACAGACTTTTTTCAAACATTAGATAGTCAAGGTAAATATTTTTAAAAGTTGAGGTGGGTTGGCCCCAGCCAATAGCCTAACACCTGCACAGCCACTTGCTCACTCCCTTCTTGTGAGAAAATAGAAGGAAGGTAGGAAGACTTGTGGATGAAGTTAATGACAGTTTAGTATGGAAAGCAGCAGGCAGATGTTAGCCACTCCCAGGAAGGTGGAAAAAGAACTTCAGCGTGTTTAATTGTTGCTTGGGAAGCCAAACAGTGTAGCCATGAGCATCCCCCCTGCTGCCTCCTTTCCCTGAGCTTTTTTTGCTGAGCATGACATTGCATGGAATATTGCTTGGGTTTATTCAGGTCAGCTGTCTCAGCTTTGTCCCCTCCCAGTCTCTTGCCTACTCCCAGCCTACTTACTGTGGTGAGCAGGGGAAGAGGGAGGAGCATGATAAAGATAAATCCTTGATGCTGTACAAGCACTAATAGCTTGTATAGCAATAGCCAAAACATGGCAGTGTTATCAACTATTTTAATCATCAATACAAAGCCCAGAACCATACCTTCTGCTGTGAGGAAAATTAACTCCATCCCAGCCAGATGCACTACAAAAGGTCAAAAATTCGTGTCTCCTTACAGAAGTTGTTCTCAAAGATTTTCTTTAAGTAATACAGAATCATGTTCATGTCCAGGGGTTTTGGTTGGTTTTTTGTTTGTTTGTTTGTTTGTTTTTTTTAACTCTGACAATTAAAGGAGGGTATTCTTGATTCCATCTAGGCTTTTTTATACATCAGCTGAATCGTTTATATTCAAATAGTTATACTTATATATGGTTATTGTTGGAGTAAGATAAAAACAAGTTTAAATGAAATAGTATTTTGGCTTACAGAATATGTTATAAAAGTTGATGATACAGAAACATTGTTAACTAGGTAATCAATCTGTTGATGGAATCTGTTGCTGGATATAAATACTGTTTTGTGCTGGTACCTCTGAGTTTAATCCTTGTCTTCTTTCCAAACTAAAGTGTTGTACTTTCTTGTCTTGATAGATATCTACCTAGCAGAGCTCACAATCTTCCCTTCCTTTCTTAGCTACTGTTTGCCATATTACCCAGTTCCAGATCTAGTGCCCAAGCATCACCTTTGATTCTCATTCCTCTCTAGGTCTTCACATCCAGGTTAGAGTGTGAAAAGCTAGAAAGTTTTCTGCATGATATTTCTAATGTACGTACCCATACAGTTAAAATTTCTGTCATCTTGTGTCTTAACTTACATAATTGCATTTCTAAGTTCATGAGAATATTGTCTTGTAGTGATAACAGAGCAAAATGTATACGACTGTGTCGTTGTTGCCTCTCCATTTTTTATATCACATCCAACAGAAACTATTTGTCTTTGCCCTCATGATAGAGGGCTATAAGCTGTAAGCTATGTGCCAGTGCTCAGATAGCAGTCAGATATGTTATCTACTGCTGGTCAATCTGCGTTGGCAGCCTTTATTGCCTGCTGACTAAGTTATGAAAAACATTGCTGGTTTTTCTCTCATGCTGTATTTAACACTCTGGAAGAATTCCCTAGAAATTTTTTTTTCTAGTTTTTAATATATCTTTTTCCCCCCGTTTGTTTCTAGTGTCCTACTTGGAATTCTCGGGTGTTGCTTTACAAAAACTTGACAAAAGCTGCTGGTTTTATTGAGACCACAGTCTATGATATTGAAAAATACTGTCTTGTTTTTCTGTGCTCTACCATCTGGATGTGTCCATTTGTTGTCTTCTGTTTATAAATTCATAAAATTAGGGATCATCTTTCTGTTTGATGTTTGTACAGTACTTAGCTCATTGGGATTGTCAAAATAAACAATAATGAAGAGAGCTCAACTGAATTCCGAAGAAGCAGGTTGGGTTTGCAGGGCTGGCAGTTATGCACAAATTGGTTATATCTAATATTGAAATCCAGCAAAAATGGAACTTGTGACATATTTCAAAAGTAAACATGTGAAGTAGAGAGAAACTCTAATCTGGAGATCCTCTCATGGTCAACTTCCTTTTCCACCTTTCCAGATTCAGCAGTGCTTGGTTACATGACAAACGTTGGGAAGATTTAAGGAGAAAAGAACAGAATAAGGTTCCATTAATATGATGGAAGCAACTGCTTAGTACTGTCTGTCTATTTTGTATCTCTTCTCTTTATTTATTCCTCATGGTAAGAGACATGACATTTATTTATACAACACTTTCCATTATTGCCTACAATTCCATTGTTCTAATTGCTGCAGAAAAATGCTTAGCTTCTGTTTCTTCTGTGTATTGTGCTTAAAATATTAATATACTATGACAGTTTAATTACAGCTAGTTTTACACAAAACCCACTTAAAATCCAAAGAAATTATACTCTTGAATGTAGGCAGAAAGAGGCCTAGAAAAATTTAGTTTAAATGGTCAAAAATTTCAAAACACATGAATACATTGAGACTAGAATATAAATAGTGCCTTTGTCATTAAAAGATTCTCTACCATTCTGCAAAAGTAACACTTGTGATTATGGGCATATGTTCCGGGGAACATCAGTGACTTTGAGGCAGGAGTTTTACGAGTCATTTATTGAAGATGTTTTTGTGTGTCTAGAAGGCTTGAAAATGAGTTTTCCAGATTAGATTAATAAATTATAGGTAAAGTGAAGAAACATTTGTTTTCTTGTTTGTCCATTTTGTTCAAACAGGTTTTCCTTTGATGAAGTTAGAATTTCAGTAATAACTTCTGTGCATGTCAATATTGATTTTTAGTCATTCTTAAGAGTGATTCTCATAAAGATCACTTCTGAATTTTTGCAGTGGGCAGTATACTCCCCCTGCTGAGCTCTTTGAATAGACAGAAAGTAAGCCTATTACCAGTTAGCTTTCTCTTGAGAATTATTAAAGCTAAGGAAGAACATAAAACTTCACTTTTCACTGTAATGGCTCAGATATATGCTTTTGAATGTTTATTAAAAGAAGTGTTATTTGTGCTTTGATTATTGTGGTTTGTACATGTAACAATATTAACTTTGTATTTTTAGTTAAGAGATTCATATTTATCAATTTTTTATGTTTTAAATAGATTGTCTGTTATTGAACTAGTGGATAGATATAGTAATGAAATACAGTATGATTAATGTATGTTTATTTTTTTCTTTAGCAAAACATGGCTAACTACTGATATCTAAAACTGATGCAGATTTTTATATGAGACAGGCAACTTAATTAGCATTTACATACAGTATGTAAAGTATGTAAATGTTTAACTTTAGCAAACTTACATTAATCAGCTATTAGGAGGTTTGAGTTGACACTGTTAGAAAGTAAGACAGTAAGAAACAAAGAATTGGGCCATTGCAGAGTTGGGGCTACTACTGCAGTATTAATTTAGCCAGATTGTATTTAGGAAGTATGGTTAAATATAACTCTAAATGTATTTGGGGTTTTATCTATTAAATAGAACATATAGAATATATAACATTGGTCAATTAACATTTGGATAGAACCCATAACTCCGGAATTTCCTGACTTCCTGCTTCTTGATTTATTGTTCTCAATGTTTAAGATATTCATTTTCTATGTACTAGTTACTGCATTTCAAATAATGCAAATATAAGTGATTTCATGGCCTGTTTGAGTACCTAGTGAATAGGAAAAACTGCAGTTATTTTAGTGAGAAAGGGATCTTGAACTTGCTTTAAATGTTAATAAGCTGCACCTGATCACAGTCTCTCAGCCCTCTTTCATAAGTATATTATAAGATATAGTGTGACTCTGTATTTTCAGGAGAATTGTTTTTCTCAGTTATCATGAGTTAAAATCCACTCGCGTGTTGGAAGTTAAAAATCTCAGCACGACATTTCTTTTTCTTTTGCACAAGGTTCCCATGACTTCAGTGAATTGTTCTGAATTGTTGGGAGACAGAACAGCAGACTTACTCTCTATAGTTTATTTAAGCTATGATTTTGACATTCTGCTTCTGCTCTAGATGTCTGGTGTCCCTGACTTTCTACTGTTTTATTGTTTACCATTTTCTTTAGAGATAGTTGTTTTTTCAGGAAAGTTTAAAGTTTGTATTGCATGGGCCTTTATGGTATTTGCCATTTGGAGATCTCTGCAATGCCAAGGTGGTGTTCATTTGTACCTGTTTTATTCCTTTGCTTGAGAAAGAAAGTCACAAAGAGAAATCTGTCTCGAAAAAAGTTGATGAGGGAATTATCGTAATACAAAGCTATATAGCTAGGGGCCTTATGTGAAAGTATTTTAGCATGCTTTTTAAGAAAATGTGATGAAAAGTCAAGTTGTATCTATAAATGTCTATGTTATATAATCACATGACTAATCATGATACTTTAAAAGATTTTTTTTTAATTCAAAATTAAACTCATTACAAGTAGGTGCATTCATCAGAAGTACTCTCTAACTCACTTCTACCCTGTCAGAGACCTTGACATCTCCTTTAGAAATACTCTGATAGACTCGTGGTTTTAAAATGCTAAAAAAATATTCATGAAAGACATATAAACTTGTGCAAAAAGGGGAGTGTCCTAGGAGAAAAATATGAAGATATGTATGTTGTGTTCAGACTTAGAAAATCAAGTAAGAAGATCTAGTTATTTTCACAAGAGCCTGAGTTAGTCTTTTAAAGAACTGCGTAAGGAGCCACTTGTACAACAGACTGATAAAACTACACGATATGTATCAAAAATCAGGTCTTGTACAGTAATCAAGTAAGTATAAAAAAATTCCGTCAGAAATACTTGAAAATAGCCTATACTGTAACAAAAGTATTTGGTTGTAGAGCTATATTATACTGAACAAGGACAGTTTATCTCCTTAAGACTAAAAAAAAAACCCAACAGTTTATCTCCTTAAGACTAAAAAAAAAACAAAACAGTTTTTCTCTTCAACTTTTTTTTTTTTTTTTTTTTTTTTTTAAGGAATGTAGCAGTTGTTGATGTCCTAACCTCCTACGAAGGCTGCAACGTGACATCTTATGACAACTTGTTTCGAACTCCCCTTCACTGGGCAGCCTTACTTGGTAAACTGGACAATACTGAAGTAATTTAATAATTAATTGACTGTAGTGTTTAATTTTTGTCTCTGTTTTTTATTTAATTCTATCCTGGTGTTATGCTAACTAATTTTTTGGAACAATAATAGTTTTTGCTAGACCAGGATTAGAAGTTTGTGTGTAGACTGGGTTTCTTTAGCTTTAGATTCTCCAAAGCATTGTAAAATGCATTACTTAAGCAGGCTATATGTGCTCATAATTTAAGAACAATTAAAGCATATTGAGATGTTCTTGCATATGTTCTTTGTTCATAGGTTAAAGAAAACCTGGTACTCTAGAGCAGTGGTGTCCGGAGTGGGGTGTGCACACCCCAGCATGTATGAAAGACAATCCATTGTGGTGTATGAAGAAAATATCAGAACTTCTGTTTATTTTTTATCTGAAAAAAAAAGAAAACTTTACTAATATTTAATATACAGATTGATGCTAGCACCCTCACTTGGTCCATATGTGAGATGGTCACATAGGGTTTGCGAGGTGTTTGAGAGAAATGAGTGCTCCAAAACACAGAGGGTTGACAGTGACATCATCACTCCTTTGTTCACTGTTGTGACATATTACAGTTTACATGTGCCTGGTTAAGTATATTTAAGGATTATATTATCTATTTTTTACTAAAATAGACAAGTGACTTAAAAAGATTCCTGCAGAGAAAACATAGATAATCTGATAATGCCAGCACACGTGAACAGCAAGAAGATGGCAGAGCTGACACTTCTCCTACTCCTAGTACAAGCTCTTAATCAGACATATTATGACAATCTAATCAGATCTGACAAGAAGCTTTATTCAGATAAAGTTTTTTTCTGTTCAGATTGCTACCCTGAGATACAGATGCTCTGTAAATTATAATCTTGCATATGTGAATTCTTCATGATTTGATTTTACAGGTTAAAAAACTGGACCTTTGCAAACCAGGTGAAAATCTTATTAAATTCATATATATATATAAATATATTTAAAAATATATATACAATAAATACATAAATACAAGGAAGTTCAACTCATAAAATGACAGGCACAAAAATAATGTGATTGAGAAAATTGACCTCCTGTTTTCTATTCTCCTATGTGCAGGCGGAAAAAATAAACACCATGTGCCAGATCAAAAGAAAGAATCTTCAAACACTCTCTCTCCCCTTTTAACAGGCTTTGTCCCCATGACCCTCTGGGACACTGCAGACAAAGCATGCTAATAAGAGAATCAGATTGCTCACTGGAGTGAATTACTGCAACTCCAATGACGATATAAATGTAGGTTGATTATGTTTATTAAAAAAAAAAAAAAGAAAAAAAAAAGAAAGAGTGTTCTCAGGTTTACATTGAAGTAGGAATATTGAATTTTCACAGAGAAATTGTGAAACTTTATAAGTGTCATAGGATCGGTCTACCAAAGAAATAGTTATTATCACTTAGTTCTGTCCAAGAAGCAAAATTTATCATGTTTTGAAATTGATTGTATTGAAGAGAGTAGTTTTGTCTGTTGGAAAAATGCATTGTCTAATCAGTGTGGAATAAAGGGGAAAGACATTCCAAGACCTTCAGAATCCTTTGTGAATTTGATGAGGTCTCTAGGTGGCATATGCCCATGGGGAATTTCTGATTGGTAAATCATGGTTAATTTTTAGTGTTCTGGTTTTATTTTAGATACTGGATGCTGTATATAGATTTTGAAGAATTCAAAATGTTGCTAAATGGATTAACAGTAGGAGGTTTTAAGTATTGCATGAATACAGCCACAAATAATTTGTTAAAAGTGATGGGTTGTACGTGACTGCATCTTAGGGCTTTGTTGCTCCTGTTACCTTTTTCTTTGGTGTAGATATAAGTCTCAGCCAAGTTACATCTCTTCTAATAAGAATTATTACAGAAAGGACAGTTTCTGACCTCAAAAATTGAGTTTTAACGTTTACATTAGTGTCCAAGTGAGATCCATATTTGCACAAATTTATTTACTGTTGCACCCAATACTGATTTTTTTTTCCAACTCCCTCAAGCATTCGTTCTCATTGATAATTTAGCTAGGCTTCCTCTCCTGATAAGAGTTCAGATACCCTTTCCCTATTTGTGTCTCCTGAAAGTTCAGGCAACATTTTTTCCAGGTGCAGTA